TCACAGATTTGAATAGCTGTATATGCTTATAGTTACTAAATCTAATTACTAGCAACTCTAATAGTATTGTCTTATACAATACTCATATTCTGACAATATCTCATATAATCTTTTTCAGGGCAACAATACCCTGAAAACTAGTTGTTGTTTTTTTTTTTTTAATTTGGGAAAAAATGTGACACTGTGGTAGAATGAATATAAAAATTCCTACTATATACTATTTTAATTAAGTGATTCTTAAATTTATCAGAGTCTGGAAAACTACAGAAACACAAAAGTGGAGTAGGAAGTAATCCTAAATACAGAAGAATTACAACAATGATTTTCTCCTCTCTCTAGCTGATATGTGTTAGTATTTCTTTAAATATGTTTTTAATAATTTTAGAGAAAGAGAAAGGGAGGGATAGAAACATTGATGAGAAACATTGATCAGTTGCCTCCTGCATGCTCCCCACTGGATATCAAGCCTACAACCCAGGCATGTGCCCTGACCGGGAATCATATCAGTGATCTCTTGGTCCATGAGCCAACTCTCAACCATTGAGCAATACCAGTTGGGTGAATATGGTTTAGTATTATTTGTGGCTAACTAATATTTTCTGGCTTATCTATATGCTAAATGATTTCCTATTAAAGTGGGAATAATAATTATATTTAAAGATAAAAGTCTTATTTGGAAGACTAATGTTATCTTAATGGTATTTTCATTAGCACTGAAAGAGGAGGCTTTATTTATTCCTGGAGACCCAATCGTGGAGCTAGAAGGCACTACAGGTCATGTAATTTAGTTTCTTTTACCAAATGTCACGAGAATAGGATGCCGAACACTAAGGAGGAAAGATTCTCTCTCAGACCATCTAAATAACTGTGGTGAGCAAATTAAAAAATACACCCAAATCTGAATTTATTAGATCTCTACCCAACAACTCTCCTCTTCTTCTTGCTCTTCCTCATCACTAGCATTTTTAGTGTCAAACATGGTGCTAAGTGTTTGATATGCATTCTCTCATTCAATCACCAGAAAAACTATGAGATAAACACTATAATTTTTTTCAATCTTATCAATAAGGAAACTGAGGTGCAAAGCGTTTCGGACTCTTCCAAGTTATTTAGTTATTTGATAGTAGAACAAGAATTATACCAGAGCCCCCTCTTAACTTCCACAGAACTATAATGCCATCATCCCAATTTGTTACCATAAATCATTATCTGTCTGTCCATCCATTCACATATCTGTCCAACCTACCATCATCACATCAGCATCTTTTAAGACCTGGAATGTAGTACAGTATATGGTTTTAGGTTAAAAAATATCTTGCAAATGACCAACAAATTACACCATATCTTAGATGAATTATATGTTTTCAGAGTTAGAATTTTGAAAAACTGTTACAATATGAAAAAGACAGGAGGTTGAGTAAAACTGTTATATTCAACGAATTGAAAAATGAATTAATGCTGTGAAAATATTCAGTGTGCTTATCATACACATTAAAAGCAGGAAAATTTTACATTGCTATACAGCCAGACTGTATGCCTAAGCCTTAATTTATATGGCCTATTAATAAAAAATATAGAACTTTTGGCTGTACATCTTGATAAGCACTGTCATTATTTTTTACTACTTCAAGACCAAAACACATGCTTATGTAATAAATAATTACATCTATAAATAGGTTCAAATGCTACTTTATTATACATTTAGAGATTAGCTATTAAGTACTTAGGTTGTTAGAATGAAAAAGCACATAAGGAAAATCATACTTGGTTATTAAATGTTTTTTTTTTTTATTATTAGTTAAGGTATTACAAATGTGTCCTCATCCCCCCCATTAACCCCCAACCTCCCCCCCACACACAAACTCATGCTCCCATCCCCCCGTTGTCCATGTCCATTGGTTTGGCTTATATACATGTATACAAGTCCTTCGGTTGATCTCTTCCCCTTACCCCCGCCCTCCCCTACTTTCCTTCTGGGGATTGATAGCCTGGTTGCTGTTTCTCAGTCTTTGGGTCTGTCCCTTTTCATCAGTCTATGTTGTTCTCTATAATCCACAAATGAGTGAGATCATGTGGTATTTATCTTTCTCTGACTGGCTTATTTCACTTAGCATAATGCTCTCCAGTTCCATCCATGCTGTTGCAAAAGGCAAGAGTTCCTTTTTTTTTACCGCAGCATAGTATTCCATTGTGTAGATGTACCACAGTTTTCTAATCCACTCATCTGCTGATGGGCACTTAGGCTGTTTCCAAATCTTAGCTATGGTGAATTGTGCTGCTATGAACATAGGGGTGCATATATCCTTTCTGATTGGCGTTTCTGGTTTCTTGGGATATATTCCTAGTAGTGGGATCACTGGGTCAAATGGGAGTTCCATTTTTAGTCTTCTGAGGTAGCTCCATACTGTTCTCCACAGTGGCTGCACCAGTCTGCATTCCCACCAGCAGTGCAGAAGGGTTCCTTTTTCTCCACATCCTCTCCAACACTTGCTGTTTGTTGATTTGTTGATGATAGCCATTCTGACAGGTGTGAGATGATAACGCATTGTCGTTTTGATTTGCATCTCTCGTATAATTAGTGACTTTGAGCAGGTTTTCATATGTCTTTTGGCCTTCTGTATGTCCTCTTTCGAAAAGTGTCTATATAGGTCCGTTGCCCATTTTTTTATTGGATTGTTTATCTTCCTTTTGTTAAGTTTCATGAGATCCCTGTAAATGTTGGAAATTAAACCCTTATCGGTGGTATCATTGGCAAATATGTTCTCCCATGTAGTGGGTCTTCTTGTTGTTTTGTTGATGGTTTCCTTTGCTGTGCAAAAGCTTTTTATTTTGATGTAGTCCCATTTGTTTATTTTCTCTTTAGTTTCCATTGCCCTAGGAGCATTATCAGAGAAGAAATTTCTTCGGCATATGTTTGCGATTTCGCTGCCTGTGGATTCCTCTAGTATTTTTATGGTTTCCCGTCTTACGTTTAAGTCTTTTATCCATTTTGAGTTTATTTTTGTGTATGGTGTGAGTTGGTGATCTAGTTTCATCCTTTTGCATGTATCTGTCCAATTTTCCCAACACCATTTATTGAAAAGACTGTCTTGACTCCATTGTATGCTCTTGCCTCCTTTGTCGAATATTAATTGGGCATAGTGGTTTGGGTTGATTTCTGGGGTCTCTATTCTATTCCATTGATCTATATGTCTGTTCTTGTGCCAGTACCAAGCTGTTTTAAGAACAGTGGCTTTGTAATACAGTTTGATATCTGGTATTGAGATCCCACCTACTTTGTTCTTTCTCAGGATTGCTGCAGCTATTCGGGGTCTTTTTTTATTCCAGATGAATTTTTGGAACGTTCGTTCTAGATCTGTGAAATATGCTGTTGGTAATTTAATGGGGATTGCATTGAATCTATAAATTGCTTTGGGTAGTATGGACATTTTGATGATGTTGATTCTACCAATCCATGAACACGGTATATTCTTCCATCTGTTTATGTCTTCCTCTATCTCTTTTTTCAGTGTCCTGTAGTTTTCAGCATATAAGTCTTTTACCTCCTTAGTTAAGTTTATTCCTAGGTATTTTAATTTTTTTGGTGCAATGGTAAATGGGATTGCTTCTGTAGTTTCACTTTCTGTAAGTTCACTATTGGTGTAAAGAAATGCCATGGATTTCTTAGCATTAATTTTGTATCCTGCTACATTGCCGAATTCATTTATTAAGTCTAATAATTTTTTGATGGAGTCTTTAGGGTTCTGTATGTACAGTATCATGTCATCTGCAAATAAGGACAGTTTTACTTCTTCTTTTCCAATCTGGATGCCTTTTATTTCTTCTTCGTGTCTGATCGCAATGGCTAGTACTTCCAGTACTATGTTGAACAGGAGTGGTGAGAGGGGGCATCCCTGTCTTGTTCCTGTTTTTAGGGGGAATGGTTTTAGTTTTTGCCCATTGATTATGATGTTGGCTGTGGGTTTGTCATATATGGCTTTTATTATGTTGAGGTATGATCCCTCAATTCCTATCTTGCTGAGAGTTTTTATCAAGAAAGGGTGTTGGATTTTGTCAAATGCTTTTTCCGCATCAATTGATATGACTATGTGGTTTTTCTCTCTCAATTTGTTTATGTGATGTATCACATTTATTGATTTGCGGATATTGTACCATCCTTGCATCCCTGGGATAAATCCTACTTGGTCATGGTGTATGATCTTTTTGATGTACTGCTGGATCCGATTTGCTAGGATTTTGTTGAGGATTTTGGCATCTATGTTCATGAGGGATATTGGCCTATAATTCTCTTTCATTGTATTGTCTTTATCTGGTTTTGGGATTAGGGTGATGTTGGCTTCATAGAATGAGCTGGGAAGTGCTCCTTCCTCTTGGATCTTTTGACATAGTCTGAGGAGGATAGGTTTTAGGTCTTCCTTGAATGTTTGGTAAAACTCCCCTGTGAAGCCATCTGGCCCCGGGCTTTTGTTTGCTGGAAGCTTTTTGATTACTGCTTCGATTTCCTCCATAGTTATTGGCCTATTGAGATTTTTAGATTCTTCCTGGTTAAGTTTTGGAAGGTTGTATTTATCTAGGAGCACAATTAGGGAATCAGGTGGAAGCAACCATTTTCACAAAGAATGGGATTAGGCTTTTATATTCAATCAGGATTGGGGTATTTTTTGTTTGTTTTTTTAAGCTTTAAAAGTCCAGCATAAGGAAGAGAATTGAGAAGAGAGAATGGGGCAAGGGGCTAAGCGTATCTACAATCACCAAAAAAACACACATGTTCCACCACATGAGAAGTGGAGGTTAAACCTGCCTACGTAGCCCAGCAAATATTAGGAGCAAATGCCAAGACTAGGCCTAGGTGTTGATGTCACAACAGGCTAAAACAGTTTTTAAAGGGACCCTGATTCCACCAGGACTGGTCTCTCATCAGCGTGGGCTCTGACAGACGAAGTTCCTTTGCATTTGCACCAAAAGGCCAAAGCTTTACCTGGAACAAGTTCACTCCAAATAATGCTCACGTTGCTGGTTTTAACAGGTCATGGAGTCATAAGTGTTCCTAAAAGACTCCACCGTTTCCTAGGAGAAGGTCCTACTGATTACCAGGGATTGGAATTCAAGCAAACCACTGAAGAAGGGAAATACTAATGATATTCTGGCACTGTACAAGCTGTCTGCCTGTCGTCTCTGCCAAGGACATGGGATATACTTGGCTTGCAGCTCCATGATCTCCAACAGCGATGAAGTGGAACTGGGACCTCCCCCACGTCAGAGGAGGATGCCCAAAATTTTCATCCCAGCCCAACTTCTGAAAGAAAGCAGACTATCGGGGCTATTATTAGGAACCATGCTCCTGTGAATTCTGTGTAAATGAAAGCTGTTTCAGTTCATGCCAAGTCTTTTCATGGTCCGCCAGCGATCCTTAATCATCACAGCTGTTCGGTTAATAAATGGGTAATTTTTAGAAATGGCAGCCCAGTTTCCTTCCCCGAATTTCTGCACTCCAGCCTTGATCCACTCGCTCTCCTCTACAGTCCACTTCTGCTTTTTTGTTACACTGCTTGTACTCTCTTCATCTGGTGCAGCCTGAACATCAAACAGTTCGTCCTCTTCCACCCAAGTCTCTTTTTCTTCAACCCCATTAGAACTGTTCCACTTGCCTTTGGGTAATTTGGGATTCTTCTCCCTGGGAAGGGGTTGGTTGAGAACGGCAGGCATGGATGGTGACGCTGGAATGATTTCCTGAGAGGAGTTGAGGCTTGGGCTCAGCTCAGTACTCTGACTATCCTCCTCCAAAACCAATCTGCTAATTGTCATACGCTTGTTCTTGGGCTGCAGTTCAGAGCCACTCTCTCCCTCAGCAGGAGCTGAACCTTCGTTTTCATCCTTTCTCGGTCTCTTGTTTTTGAGGGCCGGCGATGACAGGGATGCTTTAGTAGGAAGTACCAGATCTTTCTGGTCCAGTTTTGAGAAGATCGCCTCAGAATCTTGTGAACCGCACAGAGTCTTGAAAGCTGCTTTCAGAGTCATAATTCCAAAGGTGGTTGGAGTATTCCGTAGCTGCCTCGGAGGTTCTCTGGGTGGCTTTTCCACAGGCTCTGGTGCTGGCTGTTTATCTTCCTTCACTGTAGCTGAGGCAGAAGACTCAGATTTCAAAGCCTTTTTGGCCATCGTGAGGAGGTAGGGTTCTGCATCATCCAGGTGACTCTCCAGGAAGCGCAGCATCTTCTGTTGGAAGGTCTCATAGGAAAAGTTCTGGATAACAGGGTGGGCCAAGTTCTTTTCACGGATGATGTTCAGGAGATCATTTCTCAGTTTCTGAGTTGTGGGGTCCTTGGACATATGTTTTTTCAAAATTTTTGAAGCCTTTTCAAATTCTTTATTTTTAATACAAATAATGACAGCCATCAATGGTTCTTTCCAAGTCTGGGCTGAGAAGGGGTTGCCTGAAGAGATAATATCTATCTGTATGTTCATGTTTGAGTGTGCTCACTTGCTCTCTCTCCACCGTTTTTCCTCCACCGCACACAAAAAGATAAGCATTGTATCCTCAAAGACCTCTGATTTTTGTTCAAAGAAAAAAGAAAAATAGAGCCTTACAGCCTCCTTGACCAGTTTTCTACTGGATTCCACCACTGCCTCTGTCAGTGTAAATTCCGTTTTAATCATCTCCAGCACATTGATAGCTGATTCCAGGGGTGTGAGCTCAGCCTCCATATCAAAGGAACAGTCTAAATTCTCCCCTTCTTCAATGCGTGACAGACACTGCATAACCCGCAGCAGCCGGGACACGGTGTGCTCCTTTCCCAAGGGCCTGACAAGCAAAGCCTGCATAATGTCCCGGATCTGCCTGAAGTCCCCGTACCGGCTACTTCGAAAGGCCCGCAGCGCCTCGTAGAAGTAGAACTTGAGCACCCAGCGGTTCACAGCCTCCTCCAGCCGTGCCTCCCCCGCGCCCCCCAGCCCCGGATCGTGCCGCCCCCGCCGAGCCCGCCCGCTGCTGCGGGACGCCCGCCGGCTTGCCGCCCGCCCGGTGCCGTCGCTGCTCCCGCCTCCTCCCGCCATCGTGTCCGTTCGCCGCGCACCCTCCCCGCCCTCCCGACCGGCTACTTGGTTATTAAATGTTATAAAGATTCTAAGATTAAGTAAGTTGACTGAAATGTATTTCTAGCAAAATCTCTTTTAACAAACACTTGATAAACACTGAGTTTATTATCTTGTTAAATAAGTCTGCTTCTCTTCTTGTATTCCCATCAAGAGAGTAGATAGGATCCACCTGATCACCACACCAGCAACTTGGAAGTTGCTTCACAGGCCTTTATTTCCCTCCCTATATCTAATTAGTAATCAAGATCTGTATATTTTACATCCGAATTATCTTTTTAACCCTTCCACTGCCTCTCTTTATCACTACTGCTATTGTACTAGTCCTGGCATTCTCATCTTCTGCCCTGATTATTGCAATAGTCTCTCCTAACTGGTCTTTAGGCTCCTCATATCTCTTTCTCCCTACACGGGTGCAAGGTCCTTGAGGCAGGGACCATGTCTGTATTCTTAGTAGCCAGCAAAGTCCTTCACTCAGAGCAAGTTTTCAAATGCTTGTTGAATGAATGACTTTTTAGATGCAATATTAAGATTACCACATTATTATTCAGGAGACTGCATAAGAACCTACTGAGGCTTATGTATCTCTTCATATTTTATATAAAATATATGGCATTAAATAATATTGTTATGAGAAATCCTATATTTGACCTATATGTCTAAGATCATAGTGCTAAAAATTCTACTGGATATGAATGTTGGCCACTTTGTCTCCTTAAAAAAATATATAATATTTTTATATATATATAAAATATATAATATCAATATATATATATTGATTTCAGAGAGAAAAGGAGAGGGAGAGAAAGATAGAAACATCAATGATGAGAGAGAATCATTGATTAACTGCCTCCTACACAACCTACACTGGGGATCGAGACTGCAACCCAGACAAGTGCCCTGACCGGGAATCAAACCGTGACCTCCTGGTTTATAGGTCAACACTCATCCACCATGCTGGCTGGCCTATGACTCTTATTTTAATAAAGGTAATAAAGGGAGAATTTTTCTCTGTTCTGTCATGATACTTGATAGCAAACTATTACATCCTATAAAATTAGGAAAAAAATGGAGATTTCCTAAGACCTGTCACAAATGTTGACTCTGGCCAAAAGTCTGCTCATGTTTCAGCATAATGTTCCTTTTCTTATTTAAAAAGTCAATTTATAAACCCATATTCCAAAGTTTTAGAAAACTGGCAATTGGCAGTATTATTTATTTGGTAAACAGATTCAGGAAATGGAAGAAGGGAGGCAGAGACGGAGACAGTGAGAGGGAGAAGGAGAGAGAGGAAGAGGAGAAAAAGAAAATACACAGTGAGGGGGAAAGAAAAGATAAAATCCAGTTTCAAATGGCAAGCCCACAGAAATGCATGCCACAGTGCACCTCTGTATGTAAATGTATGCTCCTTTTCTCAGTTGCCCATATGCCAGTTTGCAATCCACTCCTACCAGACACTGTCAAAGCCCTCTTACTATGTAGCCCCAGGCATCAGAATGCAGCTTCTATCCTTTCCATATGGTTGAATAAAGATAGGCTATCATTTGGGGCTGCCACCTGCTTAATCAAGCCTGTCCAAGGCACCTATTGCAACTGCTCATTGGAAGAGGCACGTCCTTAGTACGACCTCATCCAAGGTTGCTTCTGACATTGCACCTGAGGTGAAGTAGAGAGGACTGCTCAGAAGGAATCTCAGATAGTGTTTGTAAGAACATACGTGCAGGATCAGCATCTACTTTGTTGATAAAAATAATCAACAAAGATTGCATGTTTCCAAATATCACCTGGTCAGAAAATACTGAAGCATCAATGACATCAAGCCCAATGGCACAATTAGAAATGACAAAGAAAGCAAAAAGACTTAATTACAAGGTAAAGTAGAGATGCAGATGTACCCAATTATTTTAAATATCCCAATAATTAATAAATGAGTGTTGATTATTTATATACACAAAAGTGTTACATTTACAAAGTACTAGTCATAGGCTTTTAAAAGTAAGATTCCAACAGAGAATTTAAACCAAGATTCAATTAATAACAATTACTGGGATAATAATCACTCAGTAAATGAAGGATAAGCAGATAAAAGAGTTCATGTACTGCTTTTAGGGTAAAAATACAATGTTGGCTCCTGGGCCCATATAAGTATTTTACATTGTGCCACCCCCTTCCAATGAACATTAACGGATTACTAGGAAGAATGATTTTTCCTTCCTAAAATTCTAATTAGGCATTTTGGAAGGAAACAAGTAATCTGTGATCAAACAAACACCACCAACCACAATAAAACAACAGCCTTTGCCATAAAATTCAAGGGACTATGAATTATATCAACTGTGAACAATGCAAGTACAATGGGCTAAGATACAAACTTAATAGGTCACTCTCCCTGTTGACAAATACATATAATGAGGATCCCAATCACAAGAAATATGTATACAGGCTTCAGGAGACGTTAGGAGGATCGCAGCCTAGAACAGCGTTATGTAAAAGACACACACACAGACACACACACACAGACACACACACACACACACACACACACACACACACACACACCCTGAGATCTAAGAACAGCATTCAGCCGAGAATCCGACACATTAAGTAAGCATTCAATAAATGTCTATTTATTGAGTGAATGTCCATAAAAATCCATCCCCTAAAAGAAACTCTGAGAGATGCCATTGAAGTTGAAGTAGAATAAGAAACTCATTGGATTTTATTTTCCCTTTAGTTTAAAATTCGGTAAGTATTTTATATAGTTTGGTAATATTAATTTATACCATTACTAGTGTAATAATTCCCTAAAGCTGCACCAAACTCTTCCTTTCTCCTTGGGGCATGTTAAACAATATCCATCCATCCATTGAAAATACCAGAGGATAAGACCATTGGTGTCATCATGCTCATTATGTTTGGGTAACAAATCCAAGTGTGGGTCCCCCTGTGCTCACAGGGCTCTTAGTAGCTACAGCTGCTCCCACGAATCTGCAGTGATAGACACACAGGCATTTAGAGCAGATTATTTTCTTTCAGGCACTAATTTCCAAAAAAAAATATACAAAGCCCATTAAAACTGTAAAAGGTCTACATGTAGTAAAGGAATAGAGCGGTACTATGGAATTTACTTGAAAGAAAAATCTAGTGACTCCTTGCTTTTATATTTCTTTTAGTATACTGGCTGCTAAAACACATGCAAACATACAATTATAAATTCAATCAACTCTGGGGACTGGAGTCAAATACACTTTCACATTCCTGGTCATTCCATCATTTGTAAAAGTGTTTACCTATAAAACTAAGCTGGCCTGCAGCCCTGCCGTAACCCAGAAGTTACATCCTCTCTGCTTTGTTTCTAACCTGTGTACAGGTATATCTCTACAGACAGCAATTCATGAACTTCAGATGCACAGCTCTTTTAAGCACTTGAGGTAGAAGAACACGCGAGTGTCAGCCCTCTATGTTTCAGAGCTTGAAGGTTCGCCTCATATACAATCTGGTGACGTAGCAGTTCTTCATGGGAAAGAAATCGGGAAAATCATATCTGACACAGCCTGAGTGTGAGAGCAACCAGCGGGACTTCCACCTCTTCATTTCTTAATGACTTTTTTGATAATGAGAGGGTGACTTTGCCAGTCACTCTGGGCTCTATTATGGCTAATTTGACGCCACTTCACTCTCTTGTTAATTATTAACACTAGCCTTTTTATCCTCATGAGACACTCCGATTTTTCCTTTTTTTTTCTCCCCCGATTTTTATGAGCCCATCTTTATGAAGGTGAAAGTCTCAGAGAATAGGTCTTCATTTAGTGCAGAGCTCGGACACTTATTATTCCTGTAGGCAGAGATGCTGTGACATTGATTATATAAGCACGGGTGTTCTTCGGGATGGCTTTAATGTGCTAGCAATGTGAAAGGGCTGTTAATTAAAGAAGAAGAACCGCGGTATTTTTTCACTTGGGAATTAGTTCCCAATAGGATGGTCATTTGCCACTTGCTAGCAATCCACAGATTAAAAGGTGACTAGCTCCAAGGGCTTGCCTTTCCGTAGTGTTGAAAGACGTGATTTGTGCCCTTTGCAGATGGCTTTCATTTGTCAGAAGCGGTCACTTGCCATTTCTCTACAACGGGACAACGGTGGGCAGTAGCATGCGAGGGTGGAATCTATTCGCACTAGCATTATAGTCATTCAGTATCATTCAAATACCATGTTAATTGCTTTATTATAAAACATTTCTTTCCCCTCTATTCTAATACATCTCGTTTTCAATATTGTTTCCTTAGATGCCATTTAAAGGGACTGCCCATCCCATTACCCCTTTAGTTGGTGGGGAGTGGATGTGGGTGGGAGGAGGCAGGGGAAGAGACCAATAGGGCTGTGGCCTGTTTTGGACAGAAGTGAGAGCCTGAGTGTGTTTTCATCATCAGTCCTGCCCTGGGAATCAGTGGGTGAGTCGGTGAGGGGCGGGAGTGTGGGGACAGTTGCTAAAATGATGGTGCAGCTGGTATTCATCCCTTGAGGAAAACCACATTTCATCTCCAAGGGTTCCTAAGGCTTACTAGTAGACTTTCCCTAATCATGCCCAACTGTGAGAAAAGACACACGGCCCAGACAGGGTTTTTCCCCTTAAAATAGAAACTGAGTGTTATTGAATCCCTTTCCCCAATAATTAGTTCGGTTTCTGGAATTCTCATCATGGACATGTCGTGACATACACACTAAGACATTATATAGCTTTATCTGTACCCTTTAACCAACTCTCTTCTTCCATCCCCACAACTCAAGGCCCTATACATAAATGTTTTCTCGGGTAAAAATAGAAAAGATTATTTTATAAATGCCCCGAGAACCTGCTTTTGTCACTGTAGACCAACACAGAACTGGAGGCCAAGTGAGCAACTCTAACTCCCCTCTGTGCCTGATTCCCTGTGAGCCAGACTCTGACCAGGTGTTGTCTGCTAGGGATTTCGTTTCCTCCGCTGGAAAATAAAGG